AGAGGCTGCGGCAGCTGTCACTGCAGCAGCAGAAGCTGCAGCAGCAAGCACTGCAGCAGCAGAAGCGGCAGCAGCAGACGCTCAAGCAGCAGAATCTGCAGCAGCAGAGACTGCAGCAGCAGAAGGTGCAGCACAAGCAGCTGCAGCAGCAGGAGATGCAGCAACAGAAGGTGCTGCCGCTTGCGAGGAACGCAGCAGCAGCAGCAGCAGCAGCAGCAACTCTTGCAGTAGCAGCAACACCGTGTGGGAGGGTTCGGTGGCTTCAGGAGAATCAGCAGCAGCAGCAGCAGCAGCAAACGAAGTAGAAAGAGCAGCAGGAAAAGAAGCAGCAGTAGCAGCAGCAGGAGCAGAAGCCGGCAGAGATAGCAGCAGCACAGGGGTAGAAGGTTCAGCAGCAGATGCAGCAGCAGATAAAGAAGCAGAAGCAGCAGCAGAGACAAACAGCAGCAGCCCCTTTGTTCTGCCTTCACCCTTTGAATGGGATGTTGAGCTTGAGAAGAGAGAAGCAGCAGCAGCAGCAGCAGCAGCAAAACCAGAAGCAGCAGAAGCAGAAGCAGCAGCAGCAGCAGCAGCAGCAATCCCCCTTCCCTCTGAATGGATGTCTGTTCGTCTGCAGCTGAGAGGAGTGCCTCCCAGCAGCAGCAGCAGCACCAGCACCAGCAGCAGCAGGAACACCCATTCAAGCCCTTCATCCGCTAAGCACATTGCTGCAGCTGCTGCTGCTGCAGATTCATCCCCAGCAGCAGCAGCAGCAGCAGCAGCACCAGCTTGGCTGCCTGCTGCCCCGTTGTGTTATGTTGAGGCGTGGAGACAGCCAGAGGAGTCTGCTGCTGCTCCTTTGCTGCTGCTGTCATTTCAGCTGCGGCCTTCTCTGAAGCAGCAGCAGTCTCTTGTTGCTGCTGCTGCTGCAGCGTGTGGTGAGGAGACAGCTACTCGTGCTGCTTCTGCTCCTGCTCCTGCTGCTGCTGCTGCTGCGGGAGTAGAGGCATCTGAAGCAGGGGGACAGGAAGAAGCACTTGCTGCTGCTCTTGCTGCAGCAGCGGAGCAGCAAGCAGCAGAAGCAGCAGAGGCTGGGAGCAGCCTTTTGCTGCTGCCTCCAGTGCGTAGCTGCGTGGTTGTAGACAGTCTTGATGCGGGGTTGCTGCTGCTGCTGCGGCAGCAGCAGCAAGTGGTGCTCCGGCTGCTGCAAACAATAGATCAGCAGCAGCAAACGCTGCAGCAGCAGCAGCAAAATTACAGGCCTGTGCTTCAGGTGTACGTACACCTCGCCAGTGTCTTTCGAAGGAAGGAGACAGACAGGAAGCTGCCAGCGGTGCTGCAGCAGCAGCAGCAGCAGCAGCAGCAGCAGCAGCAGCAAGAGAAATCGTACCAGAAGAAGCAGCAGCAGTTGCTGCTAGCGAGAACAGTATGGAGTAAGCTGCTGCGAAAGCTGCAGCGCAGCAGCAGCAGCTGCAGCAACAACAGCTGCTGCTGCTGCAGGCGCCGTCTATTGCGTGTACAAGCAGCAACCCTTACAGCAGCCGCCCCACACCCCTGTGAGCAGCAGCAGCAGGAGCAGCAGCAGCAGCAGCAGCAACGGCAGCTAGAAGAGAAGCAACAACAACAGCAGCAGCAACAACAAGATCAGCAGCAGCAGCAGCAACAACAGCAGCAGCATCAGCGACTGCTGAGCTTAGAAACCAGCAGCTGCGAGTCTCCTTCATTTGTTCGCAGCTGTTCAGCAGACAGAGAGAGCAGCATAGCATGTGATAGCAATCCAGCAGCAGCAGCAGCATCAGCACCTGCTGCAGCAACGACAGCTGCTGCTGCTGCAGGAGACAGGAAGACCGAGTGGAGAGAAGAGCAGCAAAGCTGCTGCAGCGGATGGCGTAGCCTCGGTAGAGTTGCTGCACAGGTGCCCTCAGAAGACGTTGGGGTGTATCTGCTGCAGCGCTGCTGGTGTGCAGCAGCTGCAGCAGCTGCAGCAGCAGCAGCAGCAGCAGCGCGTGATGCTGCTGCTGCTTCTCCTAGAACCTCTGAGAGACGATATTAATAAGGAGAGAGGCGAAGAACTAACAACACGCAGCTGTTGCTGCAGCAGCAGCAGCAGCAGCAGCAACAGCAACAGCAACTGCAGCAACAGCAGCAGCAGCAACTCCAGCAACAGCAGCAACAGCAGCAACAGCAGCAGCAGCAGCAGGCTTGTTCTGGGTTGATTTGATAGTTTGAATAGCTGAGGGTTTGTTCTGCAGATTTTGTTTATTAATTTCAGCCAACTGTATAAAATGTAGAGGTAGTAGAATATATATATAATATATAATATATATAAGATATATAATATATATTATATATTTTATATATATTATATATATATTATATATTATATATATATTATATATATTACTAAACCTTTAAACCCTAAACCCTAATATAGT